GAGTAGGGCGGCCGAGGCAGCACTTGTGGCGAACTATGTACCCGGCTGATGTTGTTGCGCCCTGTTTCCCTCCTTGCTGTATGCTATACTCCTTTATGTACGTCCTTTGTATTGCCTTCTGCCTCTGTGCTGTGTTTTTTTTTTTCATGACCTCCTTGCCTACTCTGCTGTGTTGGGTACATTGATCTCGCTTTGCTGTTGCCTTTGTTTTTGTACGCCTGGCTGTCTGCCCATCTGCCGCCTATTTGTCCTGTTTGCTCCGTTACTCCCATGCCCTGGTGCGTGGTGCCTGGTGCTGGTACGTTACCCTATGATTTTTTCTTTGGGCGGGTGTGGTCAGCGTCCTCATTTTATTTTCGTTTTGTTAAATTTTGATCGGTTTCCGAGGGCTCTTTTCTCGAACGGTCCGTGCGGTACCTATTCTTTTTTTTCGATCGTTTTGTTTTCTTTTTCCGAGTGGTTTGTACCCTATTATTGCTTTGTTTCCCCGCGGCGTCGTATGTGCCGGGTTTTGAGACCAGGGGCTCCCCATTTTTTGTGGATTATAGAGCTAATGTGAGAAACAACAACAACAACAACAACTCAAACACGCGCCAGCGTAACATAATGTACAATGAACGAGACAAAGCGCCAAATATCAGTAGAGAGGGAAACGAACGCCATTATTCAAAGGCGGCAAAGCAAACAAAGCATTAAAAATAGATTGAATCGTCCCGTGAATCAAGCACTTATTACACAACAGACAGGCGTTGAAAGTCGCCTCAAGTCCGGCCCATCGTTTCCCATCAGAAAACAGCGGCTAGCAGAGAAGTCTGCTCGCCAGCCGCTCTTCGCCTTCGTCTTGCACGTCCTCAGCTTCGATCACGTCGACCGCAATAAATTGTGAATGTTCCTGCCATTCGCAAAATGTTCGCGCACTCGGACGAGGACTTCGGAGAAGAAGAGAGCAGGAAGGCCAGCACGTGACCGGCAACGGTCTAGACTAAAAGTAATCGGCGCTCACTGAATACCCGGCCCATTAGGGAGGATCAGAGTGAGCGTAGGCCATCGATACGTTTGCTTGGAAGTCCTACGTTCGGGCTTGGCAAATTACACCTTGCCGAGTCCACCAACGGACATACACATGCATATCAATCCACCGGAAAAGACCCCTCCAACATACGAAACGTCCGAGCGGTGTCCAGGCGGAGAGACGTGGTAGCGTGGCATGCTCGCAGAACCCAAGGCCATAACAACATGGGCACGTATTTCCGCGGAGTCTTCGGATAAGTTTCGGGCAAAACCGTCGGGGATCCCAAACATCGAAAATGTATATGGCGCCACACACTTGTTTTCCGACAGCTGTTAGTTCTCGGACATAGTGTTCGAGCGAAACGAATATATGGGCAGGCGCAGTGGTACCAACGGTGGACGAGAGACAGACGTCTGGCTCCTCAGAAGGGAGAGCCGGAGGAGGTCTAACGACCACTGGTCCACTAAGACTGAACTATTGTACGGGAGCACACAGAAAGACGCGATATTCCGCCAGACTAACATTGGGGGGGCGGACTCAGACGTCAGCATCGCCACGTCGGGTCCATAACGACGGAAATACCGTATTACATACTCCTTGGAATGGATGAGCCCACCCAAGCCAATGCTCTGCATCAAGAAGAGTGATTCCGTAGCTCCGTGGAAGCGGTAAGCCCGCCCAAGCCGATGTTCTGCATAAATACGTAAAGCTATTCATTCCTGTGTATCATCCACCACACACAATGGTGGTGTTTCCATGTCCATCACCGCCGTTGTCCACCAGCAACGGTGGTGAAGCGGCGGTGGCGTGAAAAGCGGGAGACGCCATGTGGAGCATCTGCGTGAGCGGTGCGCCGGTGTGTTCGCAAGCGAAATCCAGCGGACCACATGCGTCCGAGGATGAAGGATCATCTGCCAAAGATCCATCACCCGGTGGCATAATTAATTTCATGAATGGTTGCGCACACGGGGGATGGTATCCTCTCGTGCGTCGGTCGCAAAGTCTTGTCGGGTCCGACCTGACGCACACACAAGAGCGTGCGCGTCGCAACAAGAACTTTGCCAAAAAAGTTCTGACCACATAACCTAAAGCGACGCAGCACGCGGGTCGAGGGCATCGACACCAAGCCCCAATACGTGTCGAAGGAACGAGCCTCCGCATCTGTGTGACCCCCGTAGCCAAGAAAACGTAAACTTCGCGCGCGTCAGCAGTTGGGGTAAATTTTCCACACAACAGCAAAGAGACAGCATCCTCACGTCTGAGCTCCCATAAAACGTGGTCTAAAACCTCGCGCCTTCCGCCCAAGAGAGGCTGTGATGGCTTTGGTCCGAGTTAGCCATGATTTTTCATATGCGAAGTCATCGCCGGAAAAATGCGAGCTGATTCCACCATCATGAATTATTTTCCGCACACATTGCGGATTCCGTGGACCAAGAACGCGTAGGGCGTCCAGTTAGACAAAAAGGACGGCGGTTTCCAAAAGAGGAAAACCTCATCGTTGTAATATTCATGAGTACCATCAAAACAGGGGCCTGCCGCGTGGGTGCGCTTACCTTCTCCGAAGAAATACATCAAGGGAAATGGCACCGGCAACCGGCAGGACAATCTGGGTGCCACGCGAAGGCGGGCCGGATTGTGAGCTACGAGGAGAGGCAGACAAAAGCGGTGAACCAGCCGCAGAAGCGTGCGAAACCAAGCGGTCTACGCGGCAGTTTTCGCGCAAGACGTCGGCGTAGGCCTGTTCATTCAAAGCGGCCTTCTTCTCGCGGGCGCTCGACCAACATGGCCAGCGGCCGCGGGAGGCTCGGGACCGCTATTTCGTGACAAAGAACATGAACCTTCCGATTTGGGAAAACCGTTACCTGCGCTCGGCAACGGCGGTGCAGTCAGCACCGTGCGACGATGATGCTCCGTAGAGGAACGTTGCGAAGGGTCTGGAGGGGACGCGGTGGGTACAAGCGTACTCGAGCCACCGCGGCGGGTTTGAGGCTGTCCCGAAGGTCCCTGAGCTCCGACGAGGTTGACTTGACCACTCGGAGCCGCCGAAACGGTGGGAGGCGCGGAAGCCATGCCTCCAGAGGGCATAGACATCGGGGGGGGCGTCCGTGAGACACCCGACGTCTTATCGCTCCCGCGCCCACACCACAAGGCTGTAGTCGGCACCGACAAGTCACGACGGTCGCCCAAAACAAGTTGTGATGAGGCGCGGGGCGATATATATCTGAGAAACAAAAGGTTGGAAGTCCAACACATACCTGTGACGGCGATGCGTGTAAAAGGCCATCGCTGTCGTACCACGAAAATGCGAGGTTCCGGAATTCCGCGGGCGCGGGGTTCCAGCGACAGGGGCCGCGGCGACACCAGCGGCCGGTACCGGGAACGGGGTGTGTGCATTCGAGTTGCATCTCCCAGAGCGGTGGCCTTCGCCCGATGTATGATTACCTGAGCCACCTCATTTTTCGCATGCGAACGGTAGAGCATCATGCAGTATGACCAACGGCAAACACGCCGCCACTACTTCATGCGAGGTTATGGGTGGGACTAAAAAAATCCTGGGAATTCGTGAAATTGCCCGCAGTTGAGACGTTTGCCAGAAAATTGCCGCAAGTCTACAGCCGCAGCAATACATCAGCGGCAGCGATATAGCGACCGCGACAGTGCAATGGCAGCAGCAGCAGCAGCAGCAGCAGCGGCGGCAGCAATATCAGGAACGCCGGAACAGTAAAACAAGCAGGGGTGGGGACAGAGGCAAACATGTAAGCTTCGGGAACCAACCGCAGATGGAAATTATCCGATAAATTGCTTCCTGCAGCCATGGCCAGGCACGCTCTGTGCGCTACCGGTGCTTTGTGCCTCTTCACCCTGCATAACAGAGCAGTCACTTTTGTACTGACAGCGAGTAGAAGCCATCACCCGCATCATGTAAGCATCCATGTGCAGGCAGCATCCACGGCCGCCGGTCCAATCTCCTGGCTCTGCTCTGGGCGGAGTTTAGTCGGCCTACGTCTCTGGCCGTGGCAAAAAAAATAGTTAATTGTCGCGGTGAGACCACCACCATGGGTCATGATGTATGGCCAGCAACGCTGAGCAGGTGTCACGGAAACAATACGTGACAGATTCCTTTCTCGTCCGCGTCCTGTCAATATAAGAAAACATGAGAGAAGTTGCGAAAAGAACGCGCAGCTCCGGGAACGGGAAGCAAGACGTTGTCACACTCGACCACTGTCAATCGGCCACTCGGCAGCATTTGTGGCCGCCAATGTGGGCCACAGTCTGTCGGTTAAGCGGCCATTCGGCAACTTTCCATAATCAGGGCTGAGGTCGGGTTATTCCTTCAGAAGCACCAGGGTTGAGCTCGAGGTGTTCCAACAGAAACACCAGGGCTAGGCTCGAGATGTTCCAACAGAAACACCAGTGTTGAGCTCGAGGTGTTCCAACAGAAACACCCCGCGCCCGAATGTTTTGCTCTCCGTGTCTCCGATCTCCAGGCAAGAAATATATTTAGACTATATTGTCGATTGCGCCGATACGCAACCACGGATGACAGCAGATAGATGTGGCATAATGTCACGCCAGCTAAGCGGTCGCTGGCAGCTCCCCGTCACCATGTGGACGGGTAGGCACGCATGACAGATGCCAAGGCTGTTCCCTCGACCTCGAGGTGTGCACAGAAAACACACACCCGCGGCCGGTTTATTGTCCGATCGATCCCCCTGTAGCAAAGCAGCGCGGTGAGATAGATTGCACCAATTTGCACAACCTACGTACATGCAGTGTAGCAGACAGCAACATGCCACGGCAGGCCATTAAGTGGCCACTCAGCAGCAGCATGCCATCGTCATTATTTCGATGGCATGATAGGCACGGGTCTTGCCACGGAAGGAATAGGAAGGAAAGGTTAGCTTGTACGCACGAGCAAAGGTCACGTTATTGCAATCAAGGTAGCATGGACGAAGCCAGAGCTGTTTCGAGAGAGAGACCGCCGCGTTTCGACGCGACCCTGCCTGCGATCGAATCGTCGTGGAAGAAAGGCCACAGCGCCCACCAAATCCCACAAGTCACGGAAATAGAAGGGCGCCACCAAGCATGGGCGGCGCATGACATGTACATGGATGGACTCGAAAGCCCATCAAGCTGAAGGATAAACAATCATGCACATGGCTCTCCACAATCAGACAAACGAGTCAGAGGGGGCAAATATACCCCCCCTCTGAAGCCGGTAGAAAAACAAATGACTGAAACAATACAAAGAGGACAGAAGCACAGAAGAGCAACGCGAACTGCGGTGCACCAGCGAAGGACCTGAGTCCAAATGCTAGACGACGCCACAATGCTGTGGAGGAACAAGGAAATAAAAGGGAAGGGAGCAGGTTCGCTGCTCCTTGCTGGCTCACTCACAGTTGTTGTTGGATTTCATGTTTTATCCTTCATACCGAGCCCGTGTTCCGCGCTCACAAGTCGAAAGTGAGGACGGGGGCTATAATCTTAGTACCAGTAACCAACGAAAATACAAATATCCATGTCATGATGTCATGATTATACAAGGCTCATACACTAGTTGCTCCATTTCAACGGACCGAGTGGCGCGATACGTGCCGGATTGAACTTCTGTTAGCCAATTACCCCCCCCCGACGCTGCACCATTGCACCAACGCCCCACTAGTGATAACGTACCATTACAATGTATCGCTGGTTGGTGGCCATGTTTGCGTGTTTGCTTGTTCGTTAGTGGTCTCTCCACCGTGTGCCTTTTGCTGTCTCTTATTGCTTGTCATTTTCGGCCTGGTCCCTTTTTGTCCTCGCTCGCTTTCATTTTGTTTCTCTTTCCTTCTACTGTTTCCTTGTATTTTTTTATCTTTTTCTCTGTTTCTCCTTTTCTCTCTATTTTTCTCTCATTTTCTGTGCCAGGTGGCCTTGTCTCTACTTGCGTTGTGAAGTACCAAACCCAGGGAGTGTACTCTCTCCGGCCCGTGATGGTGACTCCTAGTCTCAGCTGTTACCTCGCATAGCGCGCAGAGGGAGTGGAGGACTCCAGAATATCTGTCGTTGATTTCAATAAAAGAATATTGACTTGCGGACCCCTCGGGGCCATTTTATTTGAGTGTACCTTTTTAGGGTAAGTTAACCTGTGACCATCGGAATCGACCGCGTCGAGTGTTGGATCACTACGGTCATAGGAAAGTACTGGGTAGGGAGAGATCGGAACCATATTTAATGTGAGGACAACAAGGATCTGATCCGATCGGGTATGAGAATTCCCGACGTGCTTTGAAATTCCCCGCAAAAAGCACACGTTACGAACTAGCATGTGAAAAAGAAAGAAACTGTGCGTCATCGACTCGAGCGGGACAGTTGTTGTTGTTGTTGTTGTTCCTCACATTAGCTCTATAGTCCACAAAAAATGGGGAGCCCGTGGTCTAAAAACCCGGCACATACGATGCCGCGGGAAAAAAAAACAATAATAGGGTACAAACCACTCGGAAAAAGAAAACAGTATGATCAAAAAGGAAAGAACAGCTACCGCACCGACCGTTCGAGAAAAGAGCCCTCGGAAACCGATCAAAATCAAACAAAAACAAAAATAAAGGAAGACGCTGACCACACCCGCCCAAAGAAAAAATCAAAGGGTAACGTACCAGCACCAGGCACCACGCACCAGGGCATGGGAGTAACGGAGCAAACAGGACAAAGAGGCGGCAGATGGGCAGACAGCCAGACGTACAAAAACAAAGGCAACAGCAAAAGCGAGATCAATGTACCCAACACAGCAGAGTAGGCAAGGGCAGTCGCCGTTTCTCCCCCCCCACCGCCGCTTCCCCGACTCTCTTTCTCTTCGTCCTGAGATGGCCGTACCCCCTGCTTCTGCTTCCCTCGCGCGCTGGCGCTTCGCGGACGCTTCCGCCTCCTGCCTGTGCCATTTCCTCATGAGCCATGCCGCCCCGTCCTCGACCTTGTTGTACCACACCTCCGGGTCCTTGGCGCTCTCTTTCCATTTACCCCCTTCCTTTCGTCTCTCATGTTGAAGGCCACGAGGTCCTCTCCTAGACGAGACACCCAGTCGCTCTCCTGCCCGCCCCGGTATCCCACGCCCCCCGCCATNGGTCTCCGTTTGCGCATGGTGGCCTCGATGATTTCCTCGCAGCCTGCCTGGATGAGGGCCTGGGCATAGGACAGGGGGCGGTCGGAGCGTTTCCGCTTGCTCCAGCCGATGCACCGTGTGAGGAACTGGCGGTGGGTCCCATTGAGCTTCGTGTAGTGCTCCGCTGTTAGGCTCCACGAGGCGCACCCATACAGGAGAGTCTC